TTTTTTTTTTCACCTGTGGTGGAATACATGCACACATAGAGCATTACAAGTTGATGCAGAAAGTTCTCAGTACTTGCTGCAAAGGTGCAGTGTTGCTCCATGTGCAGTCTGCAGTGGTGCAAGTTGGCTGTTTAGTAATAGTATTTAACACCTAAGTCCCCACTACAAACAAAGTAATACATATAAATTGAATAAATGAATATGAATACATTTATAAATTTAAACTGAAGGGAAAAGTTGTAAAATAAAGGTATTATTGATGGCATATCAGGAAATCTGGACCATTTGAAGCTTATAGACGGGTCAAGGAAACCAAAAGAAGATAATTAAAGAAGTCAGAAGGGCAAGTAAAAAAAAATTACAATTAAAAATCTGAAAGATTTGGATTTTATCTATATTAAAGGTGTTCTGTTCTCAAGTCGATATTCTTTTTATCTCTTCATCATCACACCCAGGACACACTAGAAGGTAAGGGTAAGTCTGTGGTTGATTTATTCAGTCATTTGATTTAAGACTTAAGTGGCATCCAAAGTCTGCAGTGGTGCAAGTTGGCTGTTTAGTAATTGTATTTAACACCTAAGTAAGTAATAAATATAAATTAGATAAATGAAAATAACTGCATTTAAAATTTTAAACTGAAGGGAAAAGTTGGAAAGTAAAGGTATTATTAATGGCATATTGGGAAATCTGAACCATTTGAAGCTCGTGTTGCAGCAGAATAATCTAGAAAATCTCCATGATGCCCTAACCCTAACCTAACCCTAAAAAACAGATGTCTGGTGACGGTGTGGATGTCTTCTCCGCTCCCCGCTGCAGGTAGAGAGAGAGAGCTGCATCCTCTGAACAGCAAGAAGAAACTTTCTAGTAACTCGTGGAGCTCGGAGCACTTGGGGACATGTTGTACCCAATGAATGAGCCGCTCCTCTGACGATGCTGCCCGGCTGGACACGCCCCCAGCATGGATACAGCGCGCAGCAGCAGGCGCGCAGGAGACGCGCTTGGAGACGGTCTGAAGCCGCAATGGGAGTTTACGCATCCAAGTTTCAAGAGTTCCTGCTACCGGCGTCGCTGCACTAAACAAAGACTCCGGTTTCTGTTTTCTCCCTCCCTCTCTCTCTCTATTTCTCTCTCTTCCTCCCTCTCCTTTCGTGTATGAGAGAGAGAGAGAGGTCTTCTATGCGCCTTTTTTTTTGGTATGAGGCGTTTCTAGCACAGGATGTTGATGATTTTGGAAAGCCGGGTAAGATCATAAAGTCAGTTCTCTCTGATGAGAGACACCTCCACCTCACCGCTACATAAACACACACAAAAAAAGGGAAGCACGGTGGAAGTACTTTTTCATTACCTCCAACACAAGGATTTATTTCATAGTTATTTTTCTGAATGTCATTAAGAAGCAGAGGGGCTTTTCTCAAAGACAGAATGGATCACTTTGCTGCAGAGTGCCTTGTTTCAATGTCCAGTCGTGCAGTTGTTCACCCCCCTAAGGGCAACAGGGAGATTAAACCGGAGATCCCGACCTCCTCCAGGACTGGGGAGGAAATAAAGGAGCCCCTGGTGAAGGAGAACTCCTCGCTTTTCGTGGTGGCGAGGATCCTGGCGGATTTTAATCAGCAGACACCCAACGGGGTGGCCGAGCAGGCAAAGATAAAGGAGGAGATCACGCCGAACCTGAGAGAGGATGGAAACCCTGCCACACCTACCGCCACCTCCGATCCTGCGCTCAGACAAAGAGGCAAGAGATCGAGAGGTCGGACTGAGCAGGAGCCACCTCAGAAAAAGCACAAATGCAACTATTCTGGCTGTGAAAAAGTTTATGGCAAATCCTCCCACCTCAAAGCCCACCTAAGGACACACACAGGTCAGTTTGATTGGATGCAAGTGTTTCATGGTGCCTATTGTGTCCCTATCTCACATAAAGCTCAGAATACTGTCAGATATAGGGTATTAATTATAATTGCTGTATAATTGGCAAATTTCAACAGTCCACCTTAAATAAATAAGATGATCGCATCTTAATTGCACCATGCTTCATAATTATACCAGCATTTTGTTGAGTTATGTAAACTTTATAATGTCCTTTTAATTTCTGGTAAGAAAGGCTTGAAAACAGTGCCACTCCCACTCAAGTCTTTGAGCTTTGTCCCCACTCCTCCTCCTCCTCCTCCCCACTGAACACACGCACATCCACCACCGCATTGGACAGTATGTTCAAACTGAAACTGCGGTGCAGCCAACATGTAGAACTAGATGATGTATTAATCTCCGTTTCCTGAAGCAGATTGCTGCAAACAAATAAATAATTTTAAAACTGGTTTATTTGCTTCAAAGCAGCATAAAATAAACAATAAAGAAGATAAAACCTGACCTATAAGGTGCGCAGATTCAAGCAAGTGCGCGTGGACATGCAGGAAGTTTGCAGAATCAGTTCAAAAAGTCCACTGGATGCGTGTGACCTTCCGCCCAAAACATCACCACTGTTTGTTTTTGTTGTTTTGTTTTTCTTTTTTAGCGCTTTGCATTCCGCAGGATAGGCTACTGAAGAAGGGAGGGGAGATATAGATCGGCTAAAATTGAGGGGGTTGATAAGAGCTGTGCAGTCAGTCGCCTGTCTGCCCACAGCCCTTTGTTATGATGTGCCACACCCCCGCTAGACAGACTTGCCAGCTGATCTGGCCAGCAACAGACTCAGCTAGCTGAGCCTCGACTCCAGCCTCGCTGCCGTTTCCTCGTGATGTGAGCGTAGCAAGCTCACACCTCATCCTTTTCTCTCCTTTTCTGCACATATGCGCGCATACATCATCTTGGCAGGGCTGAGAAGAAAACAGAGCTCCGTGGATCACAGGATCAAACATCTTGCGTGAGCGTGACCCACATTTGAGTCATTTGCTGCAGAAACGTGCAGGCATGAAAAAGCAGCTCCACGAGATCCAGCATATAGGGCACCTTCATCTTCAAGCCTACACTGTTCTGTCACACATTTAAACCTGACCCCACATCAGTTCTTTATACTGATTTATGCTAAAAACATGACAGTCAACAGGCATATTTTAATAATCTTTTTCCCAAAACGGATTGTTTAATACTCATTATGTTGTAGTTATAATGTTAATTAATAAATGATGGAAATTAAAAGTCATAAAGAGATTCAAATTTTGCATGTGTTTATTTTGATGTAGACAATTTGGAGTATGGCGATTAACTGTATGGCAATATACAATGAAAAAGATTTGGAGTACCATTTACTTAGAAAAAGCTAGGTAACTTTTTCCGCATAGGTAACTAGGTAACATTCTTTCCACATTTTACTCAATTAACTCTAAGTTTGTTTTACTTACTAAGAAGAGTTGATTTAACAAACAAACTCTTTAGTTTCTCTTATCAACAAAACATGTACTTTTGTTTTGCTAGTTAATTTTACACCGAGAGGCACAGAAGGAGAATCTAGAGAAGCTAAATTATCCTAAAAGTCATGTTTTGGGAGGAAGCCGGAGTACCTGGAGAGAACATGCAAACTCCATGTAGAAAGTCCCTGCAACAACCCAGAACCTTCTTCCTGCAAGCAGCAGACACATGATAGTATTTTTTATTTCTGACCTAATGAGGGAAGGAAAAAAAAGCAGCAGGTTTCCTCCTAATATGCAAGCTTATACTACTTGCACCTGTTAAGATGTGAACTTATCTAAATAGTTTTGTTAATGCTATTTGGTAAGATTAATTAAATGTACTTGTCTTTTGATTGCTTGATTTACAAATTAATTCTACGTAACACATTAAATAAAAGTTAATGGAAATGTAAATGGAAAATTTGCAGTAAATATGACATAAAAAAGGTAATATTTAAAGACATAAAAGTCTATTGTTTTAGGGTACAGGCATTCCTTACAGTATAATTTTAGTGCAACATAGACATCTCAATATAAACGATAAAACGAAAAAAAAAAAAAAAAAATTTTTTTACAATCCTGCTATATTGTCCATCCTAATGGTTCTTCTGCAGACTCCATAGTTGTGTTTTTTTGTGCTGCGGAGTAACCAAATTTGTTTAAAGTCAGACAACCTTGTACCTCAGCAACTTTAATACTACTACCACAAGACAAGGAAGAAGACACAAAAAACAATTCAAAAGGACTTTGATTAAACTGTATTAGCTTTTCAATGATGCATGCTAATATACTAACCATCATGTATAGAGACGTTTCAGAACAGTTTACTTTATTACATTAGTCTCCAAAAAGGTTTGGTATAAATTAAATATATTAAATAGTTCTGGAGGGCTCTATTTATTAAATGCGTGAAAACTTTCTAAAAATATGCAGATTAGCAATAACTAACAAAGAAGAAAAGTTTGGACATCTTATCCCTTAAAAATACACAATTAAAATTCTCCTCAATAAGGGGTTTCAGCTTTTTTTCACCCTAAACACAGAGGAACTCTCCTGTCTGATTTCTTTTACTTTATTTGTTGATTTATTATTATTTATAACAGTTGGATATAGATTGTATATTCAGTGAAACGGACAAACCACATGAAGACAACAAAAGCTGGAGGATATTTTATTTTGTGGCTGGTAGAGCGTCTTTGCTATTGATTGGAGTCAACTTTAACTCCAGTTAGAGCTGGCTGTTAAATCACCCATTTGTTAAGAACAGGCTGAAGGAGACAAATGTGGTTTATAATTACCACAAGAAGGCTTGCTTCTATTGTAATTACTGTTTCTTTTGTCTCTTGTTGTAGTGTAGCTTTAACTCAGCTCGTTATTCTTGCTGCCTTTCAAACCCCTTCTTTTGTTTGCCTTGATGCTCGGCTTGCATCCTCTAATTTCTTTTAATAAGGATGGTGTATGTTGGTTTAATTGGTAAGTTCCAGAAAAAAAAAATCACAGTTCTGCCAACTTGTCTAGAAAAAAGCTGCAGCCACAGTCACTTCAAGCAGTCAGCCCACCCCCTCTCATCAGTCCAGACCATGTGAGTTTAGTGCAGTTTTATGGCTCCGTGCTAGCCCTGCCCTAGTCTCCATACCTAATAAGCGTTTCCTTTCGCCCGCCTCTCTGTTTAGATATGCTCCAGTGCCTGGCTTGCACCACTGGGTAGTGTCCTATAAATTCTGATAATAATGACCCTCTCTTCCCGTTTTACTGAGTAGGTCCAAAATGTGGGTCATCTGAGTTCAGCTGGGCTGCCTCAGCCAATCTTAGCATGTTTTCACAGAGTCAGACTCGTGCAACCTGCTTCCTTTCAGCCCCTACTAGCAGAATCACGAGAGAATAGATCCCAGCCCTGTCAGGTCCAGCCAAGTGCTGCTTTCCAACTGAAGGAGAAACACCATAGACATCAAACAAAGAGCCAGGGACAAGATGTTCCCTCTGGCCATGACTTCCAGGTTTTGCAGTTTTGTGTAGCAGTCTCTAAAATAAGCAGCAATTTAAGATATTTTTTTCTTTCTTAAAATATGTTCACTATCTTTTACCAACTATTTATTTACATTTAAATTGTATGCATATAATTGCAAATACCTACAACAACATTTAATTCATTATCGCTATTAGTGGGTATAGGCATGTTGCTAGGTGTTAAATAGCTTTTAAAAGTGTTAGTTGCTACCTTGATTCTTGGTTTTAAAGATAGGCTTTTAAAATGTCTTTTCTACTAAATATAAATGTCTTTTCTACTAAATATAAATGTGTTTCAGATTTGTAAATTTCAATGTTGGAACTTCACTTTTGAATGTGGGAACAGTTACTTTTTTAGGGGAGCCGTCAATGGAGATAAGTAGGTTTCATTTTACGTTTCTTTTTGTTTAACCTGGGTTCAACGGGGACATCCTGGGTGTAGCACACCCAGTAGTACACTCTGAATTTAAATCACTCATTATACGGCATTGAGTTTGATGTTTAGGAATCCAGAGCAGTTTAGAGGTCTAAGGTTACCAGACGGCTTTTGTTTGGTATACTTATGTTGGAGGTGGGGCCGTTTTTTTTCACTGCAAGCATTCATTAAAACCTGAAAAAAGAAAATAAAATCTGATGACTTAAAACTGCTCTCCAGATAATCCGTGCCTCAAAATTTCTTTTAATAAGTTTTAACTCATTGTCTTCATGCACTAGAACTACACAAGTATATCCATGGTGTGAAGTCTCATTACTGTCCCATGGTCACATGCAAACTGACATCTCCAGAAAATTGATGGCCCCTCGCTCCTCTTCAGACTAAGCACCCCCCACTGCCAGATTTTACAAAGCCCATCTTGTCAGCATACAATACACGATTGGACCTGCAAGTCACACTGAAGGGGCCAGGGTCAATATTTCTAAAACCACAAAGAGCCTAATGACATATTTTACAGTCGGGTTAATGTATTTTTCAGAGCTCTTTTGTGTTCTATTGTGGTACCTCTAATACTGTGAGATGGCTATAAAATCCTTTACTGTCCTAAACAAAAAGTGGTACCACCTGGCGAGGCACTGTTACAGCCATGGAAAACCTGTTTCTTCCAATGTGCTACCTATTTTCGCTTAAATAACTGTGGTTAATGACATTTTTACATGGGAAATTATCCCAAATTCCAAGTGGAAAAAGGCAGCAGGAGTTCCTCATTATATATGCTTCATTCCTGCCAGTGGTTTTATATTTGGCTGCACTGCAACACAGAGTGCTTAGTGTTTTCTGTATGGTTGATGCCAGTGATGAGGTTGCAGGGCGGAGATGGGGTTTTCCTGAATCCAATCTTGGGACACTAATATTCTTTTTACCATAGCAAAAAGAAAATTCAGAGGCTGTAGAGTTCGTTCCACCTACCTGACATCCACCACTACATTCACCATATGAAATAATGGCACTTAAAGAGACGATATTTAAATT